GCTTCTTTCTCCGTTTCTTCCCCCCCCCATCTCAGCTGTTTCCTTCTCCTCCATTCCTTTCCCCTCCCCCAGCTTGCGGAGGCTTCTTTCTCCGTTTCTTCCCCCCCCCATCTCAGCTGTTTCCTTCTCCTCCATTCCTTTCCCCTCCCCCAGCTTGCGCAGGCTTCTTTCTCCGTTTCTTCCCCCCCCCATCTCAGCTGTTTCCTTCTCCTCCGTTCCTTTCCTCTTCCCCAGCTTGCGCAGGCTTCTTTCTCCGTTTCTTCCCCCCCCATCTCAGCTGTTTCCTTCTCCTCCGTTCCTTTCCTCTTCCCCAGCTTGCGCAGGCTTCTTTCTCCGTTTCTTCCCCCCCCATCTCAGCTGTTTCCCTTCTCTTTTACTCGTCGCGGGTTATATGCGTGGGTGGGTTATATGCGTGGGCGGGGTATACGGGAAATATTTTACACGATCCGGAAAACCCGCGGGTTATTCGCGTGGGCGGGTTATTTGCGTGGGCGGGTTATATGGGTGAAAATACGGTATTTATGGAAAAATAAGATATGTTTTCATCTCTTTCATCTTCTTGCTAACATAAAAACAGGTGTAGTCATGGATTCCATCACCATCATAGATACATAGGAAAATGTACCTTACAGAAACATACTCACAGTCAGAATATACTAGTATATGCACATACACAAATATATAATAAGATAGGTCAGTGATGGCTAACCTTTTTGTTGTTGTGTGCCGAAAGTGGACATGCAACAACACACCTGCACCCATAATGCAATGTGTGCATGACCCCCCCACAACCCCCCCACATGCGTGTGTCTCCCGCATGCACCCCACTTCTGCGCATGCACAGCAGAGACTGAAAATCAGCTGGCCGGTGGAAGGCGCGTACACGTGTGCAATAAAGCTGAACTGGGGCAACGGCTCGCATGCCCGCAGAGGGCTCTGTATGCCACCTGTGGCACACGTGCCATAAGTTTGCCATCACGTAGATAGGTCATATATATATGCTTTGCTTCCAGCTGAGAACTGGACATGAACAGAAGGAAAAATACACAAGCTACATTGTTGCTATATTATTTCGCCATTATTACTGTTTAAATAGAAAGAGGTAGGAATGTTAGCAAGTCAACAATAAGCAGAGCTAGCCTCAAAAGAAAAAAAGCTATATGAAAAGCTTCCAAGGCAACAGTTGTTGAGCAACTAGGCATTGCTAGGTCAAGCCTGAAATTTAACTTCAGTTGTTATTCTTGTTGAAAATCTAGAAGCAAACAAGAGGAAAAGACAAACCCTAAATGCTTTTTTAAATTTTCATCTGGCTTGTATCCACACCTAATAGGAGCTATGATAGTAGCAGAATAGAGAAAAACAGGTGGAATGCAAGCTAGGTTTCCCAGTTGGTGATAATTCATCCTAACAACAACCCTATGTGAAGATTGATTGTGAACTCAGGTAGGCAGCAGGGACCATCCAGCAACTAAATTGTATCTATCTAAGTTCAGCCATTAGAAAAAAACATCTTATCCTGCAGAGAAAGGATACCCTTTTTTGAACTCTTTTCTCACAGTACTCATTGTGTTCATTCATGGCACTAAGAATATGGGTTTTTAACCATGATTTATAATTAGCATGTTATGCTAATGCAACTGTGAATTCAAAATCCATGGTCTATTAAGAATTTGCTTATCTAATGTCTTATTTTTTATACATTTCTTCTATACTGTTGCCTTTATTTATTGAATTTATATTGCTGCCTATTCGCCCATGGCGGCTTACAGAATATAAAACCACATTTAAAACAATAAAAACTAACAAAAAAAATCAAACACATTAATATAATACAATATAACAAAATCACCCCACCCCCCATTCCCTGGCCCAGTGACAGCAGATCACACAAGCCATTTAATGGGCCCCATCCCGCTCTGGGTTCCCCAGGCCCGCTGGCAGAACCAAGTCTTCAGCGCCTTCCAGAATAATATTAGAATGGGAGCCATTCTAATCTCTGGGGGAATGACGTTCTAGAGAGAGGGAGCCACCATGGAGAAGGCCCTTCTTCTGGGTCCCACCAGGTGTATCTCCCTAGGGGATGGGACCCGCAACATTCCCTGGCTCTCCGCTCTGATGGCTCAGGTAGATGTGACCGGCAAGAGATGGTCCCTCAGTAAACTTTGCAAGTTAATTTGATTTATACAAAAGTCATTGTGAGATAAAAATAGCAGCTTCTCACAAAATAATTTTTAAGACCAGCATTTACAAGATATTGTACAAGCTCCAAATAAACAAGAAAAAAACATTCATTTTTGGCCCTACCTGAAGATCAGAAGAGACAGAACTGCCTCGATCAGAATCTTTTGGTAAAACAGGACTTGCACTTTTCTCTTCAGATGATGACATCTTGCATTAAAGTACTTCCTGTAAAAAGTTCCAGAAGTTGAACTTTACTTGCAATCAGTTAATTGGGGTGTTTGGCTTGTGTTTTCCAAATCAAGCCAAGAAAAAGGAACTCAATTGTTTTCTGAATCTGGTTTGCTAGTAATGAATAAGCCATTGTTCTTAATTTATACACCAGAGTAATCTAACTACAGAAAAAAGTTTCTAGGGCATGTTTAGCCACTAAGCTAGAAACCTGCTGGTACTACAAAAACTACTAGTTATCTGTAAGTTAGAAATCTGGAGAATTCTATTTAGCTGTGCTTTGTAGCTCTATCACAGCAAAGAATGTCTTCTAAACCCCAAGAGAAAAATCTGCACTTTGACTAAATAAATGTCTAACTCACTGATCTTAAGGAAGCCCTGCTCAAATGCAAGAATAATTAGTAGCCTACAAAAGCAGACTCCACAGCTTTTCTCTCTTTCATTTAAACTTTAACCTAATTATCTATATATTGCTTAAGATAGATATAAACCAAGTATAGAAAAAGAGAAATAAGAAAGAAATGCAAAACATTTTATATAGCACTTAAAAACAAAAAAGAAATCCAGAATGTTTACATTAATTACAACCCTGTAAGCAAGCTTTTAGTATGGAAAGGTTAACTCAATTAACAATTTTTAAAATGTTTTTATATTAGGATGGGTCTTTGTCCTTGTGATTTTTGTGATGCATCATTTCACTAAAGCATTCATTTATGTTATTTCAACTACAGGTGAAACTCAAAAAATTAGAATATCGTGCAAAAGTTCATTTATTTCAGTAATGCAACTTAAAAGGCGAAACTAATATATGAGATAGACTCATTACATGCAAAGCAAGATAGTTCAAGCCATGATTTGTCATAACGGTGATGATTATAGCTTACAGCTCCTGAAAACCCCAAATCCACCATCTCAGAAAATTAGAATATTACATGCAATCAATAAAACAAGGATTGTACATAGAACAATATCGGAGCTCTGAAAAGTATAAGCATGCATATGTACTCAGTACTTGGTTTGGGCCCCTTTTGCAGCAATTACTGCCTCAATGCAGCGTGGCATGGAAGCTATCAGCCTGTGGCACTGCTGAGGTGTTATGGAAGACCAGGAAACTTCAATAGCGGCCTTCAGGTCTTCTGCATTGTTCAGTCTCATGTCTCTCATCTTTCTCTTCACAATGCCCCATAGATTCTCTATGGGGTTCAGGTCAGGAGAGTTTGCTGGCCAATCAGGCATAGGAATCCCACGGTTATTGAACCACGTTTGTGGGCAGGTGCCATGTCCTGCTGGAAAATGAAGTCAGCATCCCCATAAAGCTCGTCTGCGGAAGGAAGCATGAAGTGCTCCAAAATCTCGTGGTAGACGGCTGCGTTGACCCTGGACTTAATGACGCACAGTAGACCAACACCAGCAGATGACATGGCTCCCCAAATCAACACAGACTGTGGAAACTTCACGCTGCACTTCAAGCATCTTGCAGTGTGTGCCTCTCCATTCTTCCTCTAGACTCTGGGTCCTTGGTTTCCAAATGAGATGCAAAAGTTGCTCTCATCGGAAAAGAGAACTTTGGACCACTGAGCAACAGACTAGGTCTGTTTTTCTTTAGCCCAGGTAAGACGCTTCTGACGATGTTTGTTGTTCAGGAGCAGCTTGACAAGAGGAATACGACATTTGAAGCCCATGTCCAGGATCCGTCTGTGTGGTGGCTCTTGATGCACTGACTCTAGCCTCAGTCCACTCCTTGTGAAAGTCCCCAACACTTTTGAATGGCCTTTTCCTGACAATCCTCTCCCTGCTGCTTGTGCACCTTTTTCTTCCACTTTTCCCTTCCACATAACTTTCTATTAATGTGCTTTGATACAGCACTTTGGGAACATCCAACTTCTTTTGCAATTACCTTTTGAGGCTTTCTCTCCTTATGGAGGGTGTCAATAATGGTTTTCTGCACAACTGTCTGGTCAGCAATTTTTCCCATGATTGTGATTCCTACTAAAACCAGACTGAGAGACCATTTAAAGGCTCAGGAACCCTTTGCAAGTGTTATGGCTTAATTAGCTGATTAGAGTGGGACACTTTGAGCCTAGAATATTGCACCTTTTCACAATATTCTAATTTTCTGAGATTGTGGATTTGGGGTTTTCATGAGCTGTAAGCCATAATCATAATTATGACAAATCATAGCTTGAACTATCTTGCTTTGCATGTAATGAGTCTATCTCATATATTACTTTCACCTTTTAAGTTGCATTACTGAAATAAATGAACTTTTGCACATATTCTGATTTTTTGAGTTTCACTTGTATATATTAATAAATGTTGATGCTTATCTGAAATAAAATTTGAATCAACTATTTTTGACAACTATTTTTACTAAGCTAAATGAATATCCTTAATACTTCTCTCAAAGAAGGGCAGTTGAGAAGAAAAATTGTGTTTGAGTAAGATAGGTCACTTTGGGACTTGTCTCAACAGATGTAAAAAAGTCATGATTCTACAAAGGCATTCTGGACATGAATTGATACATTATCAAACAGCATATTTTGTCTGAGAATTTGAAATCCCTAAGCAATCAATACAGTCATATGTCTGTCTATATTCTTGTGACAAACTTGCACTATATAATATTTTCTTGCTGTGTTCTGAGAATTGCAATTTAGATGAAGTGAATTCCCAGTCTTACTCATATGTCCAGAGGCAGAAAATGATAGCTGGACTACAGTTCCCATCATTTCTTTGTCTTTGGCTGTGACAGTTAGTCCTCAACTATAGGTAGTCCTCAATTTATGACCAAAATTGAGCCCAAAATTTCCATTGCTAAGCAAGATAGTTGTTGAGTTTTGCCCCATTTTATAACTTTTCTTGCCACAGTTGTTAAGTGAATCACTGCAGTTAAGATAGCAACGTGGCTGTCAAAAGAATATGGTTTCCCCAACGACTTTGCTTGTCAGAAGAGTGCAAAAGATGGCCATATGACACTGGGACCCCGCAACTGTCATAAATATGAACCCGCTATCAAGTATCTGAATGTAAATCACATAACACATAAGCCAGTTGCCAAACTTTCGAATTTTGATCACATGACCATGGGGATGCTACAATGATCATTAAGTGTGAAAACTGGTCATAGGTCATTTTTTTCAGTGCTGTTGTAACGTCAAACCATCAGTCACTAAACGAATGGGTGCTAAGTTGAGGACTACCTGTAATAGGAACTGGTTGGTGCTCAGGATCTGGAAAACCATGGCTTTGTTACACTTGCTCTTATAGCTGGGCTTACATCTAGAGAGAAAAGTTGACCTGATGAGGAAATCATCCTTCGCAGACTGATGCTCCCCACTCGTAACTGTAGTTGTGGGTTAGCACATCTATAACGGCGCCCTTCGGTTCGACGCCCTCGACAATTCGACAATTCCACGAGTGAACGGCTCCTGCGAGGAAGTGCAAGAAGAAAGAAGCTAGGGAAAAAAGATTCCAGGTTTCGGAAGACACATGCTAAATGCAGGAGAGTCTATTAGAGAGAAGAAGATCTCTGGTCCTATCTTCTGCACCCCAGTTAAGTTTTGTCTCCTGCACCTCATTCGGGCTTCCTACCTCCCCGACGTCGCAACCAGACACCTCCTGCTCACCTGAAGAGCAGCCGTCGCTCTTCTTTTCCCCAGCAAAAGCCTGGCAGTTTCAAACCGACGGGACCGAAAGAGAGCGCTACCGCGATTGGTCCCCGTCCTTTTGTTAAAGGCCTCCCGACAGGACAAAGCTTTCCAAGCCGCTGATTTACCAATCGACAAGCCGGCAAGAAACTCGGAGGCAGGGCTTCGCCGATGACGGCAGCCAATGAAAAACCACAGAACGCCCCAACTGCAGACTGGGATTTTTCAGGACTCCCGGACAAAGATGAAGCCGTAATAGAATTTGCCCTATGGCCGTGTTGATTGGTCCGTTGGTTGGAAGCCCGGGCTCAAGAGGCGGGTAGTGAGGAGACAGTTTAATGGATGTCACGTGATAACGGCAGAGACGGGTTCGACCGGACTGCGGCGGCGTGGGCGGGAGTTCGGCGACTTGTTTGATTCATTTGGGACTTTTGAAATTATTGTGAAGGAGGTAGCTGAAATATGATGATGATTAATGAATAATAATTACATGCATTACACACACACACACACACACACACACACACACACACACACACACACACACACAATTTTAAAAAATACTTGGTTGATAACCTAGGACGCTGGCAGCAACCTGTATCAACCATTAGCACCCGTCAGTGGTATTTGTGATGCATTTTTGACTATTCATCTGAGTTTCATGTTTAATGAATAAGGTATATAATAATAATAGTAATAATAATTATAAATAAATAAATAAACCAACAAACCAGCAGTGGTAATTCCAGTGGTAATTGGCACACTGGGTGCTATTCCAAAAGCACTGGAATTACATTTAAAACGGTTAAAAATTGACAAAATCACCATCAGTCAAATGCAAAAAGCCGCACTGCTTGGATCTGCACGCATATTAAGAAAATACGTTACGACGTCCTAGGCCCCTGGGTGGGACCCAACTAGTAACCAATGCCAAATCCGGTGAAACAACTGGCCGCTGTGATACAATTGTATAATAATCATCATCATCATAATCATAATAATCATAATCAAGAAAAAAATCACAAAATATCAGGACTTGCAAATTGAAGTTGAGTGACTGTGAAAAAGAAATTGTGTTTGTCCCGATTGTAATTGGAGCCCTTGCAGCAATACCTAAAGGGCTACCTCGCTATTTGAAAATTTTTAATTTATCAGACTTGAACATTCTGATTCTACAAAAAAAACGCCCTACTTGGAACAGCTTATATCCTTCGACGTTACCTTAACAGTTCCTAGGTCCTAGGTTAGGACTCGAGCTGTTGAGCTACCAACCAGCCCCAAAGGCTGTGAATCTCACCAAAGATTAACCACACAATAATAATAATAATGGCTGTTTTATTTCAGCAACATTTCACACCATCGTCTTTCCTGAAAAAAAAAAAAAAAAACCACCAGGCGCCCCCAGAAACAACATGACATAAAAAAGCTGAGAAACTCTTATTTTCTTTACTCTCAGATTATTTTCACTAAAGCAAGTCCAAACTGTTTTGTTTGGGTGTATGTGTGGATATGTGAAAACCAGCAAGACATTTTGGCAGAGAACAGACTCACTACACTCACTTTTGTAATAAGCTTTTAGTTAAGAAACAATGGTTTTGGGTAGCATATAATCCAAATCAGAAACTAACAATAAGTCAGTTTATTTGAAAAACATAGGTCACTATACTTGACATTGCTAAACAATGCATATAAATATACCAAATAACAGAAACAAATATTACTCTAAAATGAAAAGGAATTTATTTTCTATATAACTGCCAGACAGCTTCTGAATAAACTGAACAACTTGTATGATTGTTTTGTTTCTTTTTTGCCAGGAATTTACAACATTTCTACAGCAGGTGGCAACACATCATAATGTAAGGTACCAGCAAATTGATGGATGATCACTTGGAGCAAATAAAGTGATTGGAATGCATAATAAACCTTGAGAAAAAGCAATTGTAAACTAAGGGTTACTAAAGCATTGTTGATAAAGATTTTGTATCACTATCAAATAGGTTTTGTTCTTGTAATAATGCAAGTGTGGGGTTCCAGAAGATAATAAAGAACAGGAGCAAATGAATAGCACAGCTGTATATAATGCCAGTGAGATTACACACAATTACAATAAATATAAATCACTTCTCCTTTGAGAGGCTTGTGACCAGATAAATACATCATGATATTTTTTTCTTCATTCCTCCAATATGGATATATTGTATTTTTAATGTTCAAATCTACTGTACAGAAATGTTATTTCTTCCTGATGAATAGGAATTAATGCATTGATATATTTGTAATAGAAAAAGCTCCACTAATAAAATAGGCTTTTTCAAACGCCTATCAAATCATCAAGGAATTAGGGCAACGTTATAGGCTGCAAACCAGGAAAACTGGGAGAAAACATAGGTCTGAATATTTCTCCCTTGTACTCCTGTTGGTTCTGTCATCTGCAGTATCCTGTGGTCATTTGATTGCAATTTATGACTTTCCCTATTTGCTTCCCACCAACAAAGTCATTGGGGAAGATGGCAGGAAGTTGCAGTCGCTCACATTCCCACTGTTTCGCCTGAGGACCCCACCTCTCCAGGTGAGAAGACATATTCCCAGCCCCATTCATATTAGACTAGTGTTCACCTACCATTCCCACCCTTGTGCCTACCTGCACTCTGTAGCACTCACTGCTTGTGAACCATCTTGTGACCTGGACTTGCAACTTCCTGTTGGCTTCCCAATTAATTTTGCTTGGAACCTGGCAGGAAATTGCAAGTTGTGATCATGTGAAGTCCTCTCTTAGTGACCCAAGATCAGAGGTGGGTTTCTACCGGTTCGGGCAAACCGGTAGTGGTAATTTGGCCTGGGTTGCAGAACCATCAGTGACCCAGGCTGGCCATGCCCCTGAACCGGTCTCCCGGTCTCTGTGGCCATTGTTTTTTATTAGTCTTTCACGGTCTTCACACATGTGCAGAACAATTTACAGTGAACTGCGCACACACATGTGAAGCGAACAGATACCAACGCCAGTAGGAACCCACCCCTGCCCAAGAGCCTCACTTAAGTATGGCAACAGGAACTGTCAGGACTACCTGAATACTTAGCACAGTAGCAAGTGCTATTGATTGTGCCAAATTTCTTTCCCAAATAAGTGCATTTGAGAGAAGCAAACTCTTAAGGAATCACTATAGCAAAGCAAACTACTCTACACTTTTTTGTTCTCTACACAGAAAATTAAACAGTAAAAATATTTGCAAAATCTATGCATTGTGAACTTTCACATTAAAACAAGCAGCTGGCTGGTGTGTTCTTACAGTGAGGGTAGCTTTCTCCAGTCTTGTTCCATGAGAGAGACAAACTTCCACTATTTCCAGCATTCATGACCAATATTTTTGGAAGACACCAGCTTCTCTTCATATCATTGCATCATTTCAGAAATAGTTCTACACTTGCTGTGCTTTGCAACCAAACTCATTTAGTTCAGCGTGCATAAAAAAGTATTGAAAAAAATTGAAACATTGAAAGCTCTGTAGACTCATGGGTGGACCATTTCCCACTTGATGGGGATTTGTCTGCCTATTGGGTTCAGGCAATTGTCATTCTTCTTCCAAAAGTTCAGCAGCAGTGGTATCACACTGCAGTGCCATAATTGCAGTAAAGCCCTACTGGGTTTGTATCTCATAGCCACTGTTAGGGATAGAGGTTTATGTAAATCAGTGTTTTTCAACCACTGTGCCGCGGCACACTAGTGTGCCGTGACATAGTGTAAGGTGTGCCGTGGGAAAATTACTTTATATATAGTCAATATAGGCACAGAGTTAAATTTTTTTAACATTTTCTAATGGTGGTGTGCCTCGTGATTTTTTTTCATGAAAAAAGTGTGCCTTTGCACAAAAAAGGTTGAAAAACACTGATGTAAATAGGCCATCTAAATATTAGTGGCCAGAAAATAATGGCATTAGAACATTCTGATTGGTGCTCTTAATTTACAATGTTTTTATTAGGGATTTGTGTATGTGTGTGTGTACGCGCTCGCGCAGTGCCCAGAATTGCACTCTGAGATGAATGGCTATACAAATAGAATAAATACCTTCCCTGTACAGTATTAAGCTGAGGCACAGTCTTTTTAATTAGTTTTTTTTCCAGTTCACCTTAAAAAACCTGGAACTAGTGCCTGGATTCACACAGCTTGCTAAATCAAAAGCCTAGGTTATCAAAACCTGGCTGGTGCTGTTTTCATAGAGCATACAATACTCAAAACAATCCATTTTTAAATGTGATAGCTTGGTTCCAGCAATACAGTAATACAAAGACTAGATTCCCATAATACACCAAATAGCCCCCCCCTCCAATGCCATTGTACTCTAGCATAGTTTGTTGTGCAAATCTAGCCTGTGTGACTTGCAGCGTTGCAGATGAAAGGAGCAATGGACTGTAACTTACATACCAATTGTAAATGTGGCAAATGGGAACACGAATGTTCCCTTTGTCCCCTCCTGGTTTTCCCTTGCTTCTTCAGAATCATTTACTCCAAAAATTTGATTTTGCTGCTATCATTTACTCTTTCAAATTACAATGCAGATATGTAATAACTACAGATTATGACTTACTTGGGCTTCACTGTTGCTAATTAGCAGCTTTTTCTGGGCATGGCCATTGATGTATATACACTAATTCTATTACAGATGCATAATGTACTTTACAATTGGACTGGCAAGTAATGATGATTAGGCAGTGCGGCATTCTGGCTGTAGCTTGTAGGCTGCCATCCTTTCTTTCTGAGACTGCAGTTCTCTTTCTCCGGTCTGATTCATTCTGAGTCATACGCAACATCTTGTTGAAATGGAGCACTCATCAAAGGGGACTGTCGTGCCTGTTATGCACCATTAGGTAATTGTATTTCTTCAAGAAATGTCTCTTGGGCTAGAATGGGGGAAGAAGTCTAAAGAAGAGTAGCCATTAGTAAGGGAGACTGCAGGCTCAAGTAAAAAAGAAAATAGACCCCCTGGAACAGAGAAAACCTCAACGTGACTAGGAATATGACTAATGCAATCATTTGGGTTGTCATGTTTTATTAGCACA